CTACAATCTATTGGAATTTCTATGGGTACCAATTGCGCCCCGTTATTAGCAGACCTTTTTTTGTATTCATAAGAAGCAGAATTTGTCCAAAATCTTGTACGTGAAAAGAAGAAAACACTTGCTGTGGCGTTCAACTCGACATTTAGATATATCGACGACGTATTGTCAATCAACAATGGCTATTTTCATTCTTATGTCGATACGATATATCCTGGTGAACTTGAGATAAAAGATACCACAGAGTCTGACACATCTGTTTCATATTTGGATATTTTACTTGAAAAAGACGTTAATGGTAATCTAACAACCAAGCTTTATGATAAACGTGATGACTATAACTTTTCAATCGTCAACTTCCCTTACTTATGCAGCAATATACCTTCATCACCTGCATACGGGGTATATATCTCTCAGTTGATTCGATACGCAAGAGCATGCTCTACGTATGTACAATTTCTAAAACGAGGTAAATTATTGACAAATAAGTTGATGAAACAAGAATATCAGCTGTCTCGTTTAAAGTCATCATTTCGTAAGTTCTTTGGTCGATACAATGACCTTGTCAGCAAATACAATTTATCATTGAGTCAAATGCTGACGGACGTTTTTCATACTAATTGTTAGGTCATTATTTACACACTGAATTGTCGACGGATTTTTCCGTTATTTCCCGATCATGACAAGGAGCACACGGCAGGTGTGACCGGTCGGCAGGGGATGCTCACTCCTCCATGGCACCTGATCCCACCTCTGATGTTTGGAGGTCCGTGTTTGCTCTGCTCCTATTTTGTATTGTATAATGGACTTTTGAGCTTGAATACTGTTCGTTATCTCCATATATTTCATACATGCACATTTTTTTTTAATAAAAAATGGAATTATTTCTTGTATATTCAATTATTATTTCAAAATTTTACATCGTTGTTATCGAATTTAAGATATTTTAAACTTTGAAATCTCAAAAAAAAAAGTGCTAGACTAAAGTTTCATAGTAAATCAAAGTAAAAACACTAGCATTACTATAGTTTACTATAGTAATCTATGGTTAACTATGGTTAACTTAAGTTAATTTTTGTTAGAGCATGGCCAGGCATCTCCTGTCGTCCAATCATACACACCGAGTGCTTCTTGTCATAATCAGGTAGACCGAATACTCTGTAGTCAATTCAGTGTGTAAATACATGTAATGGCCAAACAATTTGTAGGAAAAACATCTGTCAACATTCGACCTTAGACTGTATTTACAAAAAAGGCATTGTATCGACCATAGAATATGCAAAATGATGACTTTAAACGAGTTTGTTGATATCCTTGTATTATCAACTTATTTGTAAATAGACTGTCTCGTTTCAGAAATTAGACATGCACGTACTTATCAAATTAATTTTTAGACATAAACTCCATATTCAGGTGATAATGATATATTGCTGCTTTAAAAAGGAAGTGGACTATAGAAAAGATGGTTTCCATATTCAGGTGATAATGGTTAGTGCTGCTTTAAAAAGGAAGTGGACGATAGAAAAATTGGTTTCCATATTTAGGTGATAATGGTTAGTGCTGCTTAGGAAAGGAAGTGGACAATAGAAAAGTTGGTTATCACGTTTATCATAAAGTTTACTTATCAGTTAATTTGTCATCATTGCTTCTCTCTAGTAAAATCCAAATATGAAACAGATGTGTCAGACTCTGCAGTTTCTTTTATCTCGAGTACAAAGGGATATATCAAATCAACGTAGGAATGAAAATAAATATTGTCAATTAATAAAAGGTCGTCGATATATCTAAATGTCGAATTTAATCCCAATGTAAGAATATAAAAATAGGTATGCTAATAACAGGTCACAATTAGTACTCATGGGAAACCTAAGATTGTTGGAAGACCTGGTCATCGAAAAGTACAGATCTAAAGATGCTGTCAATGGGAAACTCAAGCATCTTTTTAATATCAACGGAATACTTGTGTGTAGAATTTGAATGCTTTTAACAAAATAAGTTTGCAGGTGACCAATGACAAGGAGTGCATATTTAAAAGTTATTTTTTATTTTTATTGAAGAACCAGTTCTCTATGATGTCAAAAAAAAGCCTGGTCTTTAATTCAATATGAATTTATGGTTGTATAAAGTAAAGAAAAGTTGTACGTTTTAATGGTATTGATTTTGGTAGAATTTTGTGATTTCATATTATAATTATCTAGAAGTCCCTCATCTTCGCTAGCCAAGGGTGACGATCCGCTCCTCTCCTCTTTTCACGTGAAGATGGAAGTCCCTTGGATTTTTCGAGTATCCACATTTGATAAACACAACTCTTTGAATACTTTGTTGAACAATATTCCAGTTCTCCTTCACCGCTGTTGATATTTTCGAAAGGAGTAAAGAGAGGCTTTTGTAGAATATTTACTATAGAACCCGCTATGATTCTTTGTTTTAAGGATTCATGAAGGTTAGGAGTACAATATAGGTATCGTAATTCGAATTCAATTTGATTGTTGTTAATATAAAAAATATTTAAAACTGACATATGATTTTGAAGAGTTTCCTCCTTAGAAAGAGAACTATGAGTATAAGTTGGATTACCACTTGTAGAATTAAATCTAAGTTCCTATAAAAAACAATTATTATAATGAGCTTTATAAATAAAGTCTGTATGTTTTAACCTGCTTTGTCAGCTGGGACCAGAACGCATTGATCATATGTAATCTATCTAACTTTTTTTGCCATTTCTGAATTATTTAAGACAGAAGGATAGAGGTTTTCATACTGCCCCTCAACTGTTTAGTTAACATGAAATTTTAATATCCACCTTACACTTTTCAGCCATTCTAACTATGTTTTAAGTTCTCTTTCGTATTTGACCCGTCGTCTGCCATAATCTTCGAATAATATAAAATATATATGAAATTTTGTAACCAGTTGAGAGAACGAGCTCACCTAAATTTTTGCACTTTTAAAATTAGTGATTTAAGGTCCTCATTGTAAACTATATTCACGTCACCAGTAATGTCGTTTCTAGCAGGACTATAGCTGAAGGGTGAAGAAGAACATGAACAGGTAGGTTCAAGATTATTTTTTAGAGTTCGATATCTAGGCACTTTAGAGTTGCTTTGCAATTAAAAGGTTTGGAAGTAATAGTCAATGAAAGATATACAAGGTGTGGATATAAACTTGAAATATGGTGGGATAAAAGACTGGACCCTTTTGTAATTAATAATATTACTAATGTTTATGGCGTCAATTTCTTTGTTGGCAAATTTTACTTTGAGAAACAGGCGGATTTCTTGAGAATCGACGTCTTCCGCAAAACATTGTGGCTTCAAAATATGGAGGGTGAACGTGTTAAAAATTCCAGACGTGTCAATTCACAATTCGTTTGACTGAAAATTGTATTTCTGATTTTCTACAGTTGTAATTTGTTGATCTTAAACTCGAACACAGTATCGTGCAATTCTTGACGTTTCCTTTTTATGCCTCACACCTCAACTTAGAACTTCCATACTTGAAGTAAGTACTGTGAAAAATTCAAACATTAGTCAGCTCGTATTTGATACGTTTCCGTTCGTGATTCCGTATTTAACACAATTGAACTATAAAAATGTCAAAAAATTGACATGACAATATATGGAAAGTTATGGAAACTAACGATTGGTGGGCGGTAAATCTAGAACAGTCAGATACTGAAAATTCCAGTATATTTTTTTTAATATTTCTTCCTAAATACTAAAGAGGCACATATATTCTTTTTACCAGATATATTTTTGTTCAGTTGAAATGAACTGAATCTCATATCAAGAAGTTGTCATCTTTCATACCAAATTAAAGTTTTCATCTCGCGAAAACCAGAAATTTATCCAAATCAATATACGTTTTTAAATGGTTGTAATCGAGATGCAGAAAGAAAAGAAAAACGTCTTCGAAAGTTTATTTTCATAAGTGATTTTAAAATTGAATTCTTGTCTTGATACTATTAGCTAAGGCGGATCCAGCAGCTACCCCTCCCCCTTTTCTTTGTTTTTCTTTATTTGTTTTTGTAAATTTTGTTTGTTTATTTTGTATACTCTCCGTTAAGCCCACAGGTAACAATATGTAATTAATAAATAATCTATTACACAGTAAAACATCTTCATACACCTATGACTTCATATGTTATATAAGAAATGAATATTTGAAATAATCTGGCATAAATATTAGATGAATGCAAGGGAAGGGTGAAAAAAAATGTCTAAATCGCTGAAAAAAATGAGCTTTCAGCTCAGGTGAGGTAACAAGTCGGCTTATAAAGGGGATACAATTTTATTAAATTACACTAGTATTTTAGACAAGTAAGGACAAACAATCTGCAGATCACAAAACTCACCAAGGTCATTATGATCTTACTTAATAATTCATTTTTTGAAATTTACTCTGGCCCTACTATATAAATTTTTCTTCAGTACAAATTCAACTTCATTATTGTAAACTTTTTTTTTTACATTATCTACATATAATTATTCACTCTTGCTATTGCAAAGCTTAAAATAAATTGACCATTTGAGAACAAAACTTTAATGTTGAATTCATTTATTAAATCATATAAGCTTAGAATTCTAAAGCAGAATTTTATTTTTACTATCATAAAACAGCAAAAATTTATGGTGAGAATGACATTAACCAAACAAAACAGATCAAGAGCAGAAAATAGAAAACGTAAATAATTACTAATTAGCAACTAACTGAAGCAAAATTAAACTTGGGATTATAAAAGGTGGAGACAAAGTTTAGTCTTACAAAAAGTAAGTTACAAACGTTTCTAAAATGTTCATTCCCATTTAAAATTAAGCCAAATAATATGAAAAAACTGAACAAAAAAATTGCTGCTCTTTGGATAAATGTATGTATTTTTTCTGCACAATGCTTGTAGAATTTTTGTGGGAGATGACTCTATACTTCTAGTATAATACTTGTCCAGGTCAAAAATTTCACCCATCGATCAAAACCTTGAGTATCCATGTAGAAACAATACAAAATTTTAGTAAAGGCATGTTTATCATTAATGATTCAATGCATCAATGCAGAGTGGGCATGAAACAAGAAATTATGCTGTGTAGTAAAAAGAATACATCTTACTACATAATAAAGTACATTACAATACAGCTGACTAGTAGAACATGTAATAGTTAATGAATAAAACAATGATTCAAAGAACGCATGAGTGGGCTCATAAACAAATAGCACTATTATCATAGATTTGACCAATTTGAGTAGGATTTACTAGTATCTAGTTTGGAAGTTTAAAAAAGAATTCTTGATTGCATATACAACTTGTCTCAAAGTTCTTTCTGCATCAGAAAATAATTATTAATGAATAAATAGTACAAAATAACATATACATGTACAATGTAAATGAATAAATATTTACATTCTGTATAATAATTAAAATAATTACCAATAAATTAAAATATAAAACAAAGACATCATCAACATTCCACCATAGCGAGGCCAGAATTTGATGCTGCTGGCGCAAGGCTTTTTATTGGGCCAAAGTCTGACATCACGTGGTTATCATTCCTGGCAGCTGTTCGGGAGTCCTTGGCGTCTATCCCTGAGTCTTCATTTACTGGTGTTCCGTTCTTGTAATTTGCTGCCCATCCTAGGCCTTTTGCCTGAGCTGCTGCTAAATATCTTTTTCTTCTGTTTATTTTGTATAACCTAATTCTCTCGTCCTCCTCATCTGATCCGTCAGCCGGATTGTCCCATCGTAGACTCTCGTTCTTACTGGCTGGAAGATTAACACAGGACGAATTTCTTGGAAGAGATTTAGCACCAAATTGATATCCCGCTTTCAACGTAGTGTTTATATTTGTTTTGTATTTATTATTTTTGGCGATGATACTTCTTTGCCTTGTGATCATTGTCGATGATGTTTCCTTTACTGGGGGTTCTCTGAGCGAATCTTGTGATCTGGAAGGTTTTATGGAGATGGCGGCAACACTGATCTCCAGATGTGTCGTTTTCTTGGCCTCGACTTCCACTGCAGTTGAGGTATTTTCCAGTCTGTTTTGAGTAGCATTTTCAAGAGGTTCTGAGCCGCGCTTAGAGCTTTCTTGGTAGGCAAGTGATGAATCTGAGTCTACACCTACAAGCCAGGAAAATAATTAAGGATTTATAATTGTAGTTTTTCATCCTGTCATCTTGTCTGAGGAATTAATGTTAACACATTGATATCGCTCTAATCAGACCATCAAAGTCATCTAATAGTCAATAGTTTAAAATCTACATAATTAAGTCGTATTAATGTGCATTATTGGTGTAAAGTACACGTTAATTGTGACAATAAAGATAATATCAATATAACTCTGTACAGAGCAGAAAAACCAACTCAACCTTTAAATCAAAAATAATTCAAGACATTTTTTAATTCAAGAAGGAGATAAAGTTTGGGAACTATAAATTTATTTTCAAGCTGAAGCTTTAAGGGAGAATGTGATTTAATTAAAAAAAAACAAAAAACAAGTTTGCTCCATTAGTTAGAAAACACTATTCTTTGTTCAAGGTTTTGAAAATCCTCCAACGAGAGATAAAATCGTACTCACTCGGTGCTGCAAAAATTAGAAAATGATCGGAGATGCTAACAAACTTTAACTTTCCCAGATCTTTCAAATGTATAATCTTTCAAGTAGTTTTTACGTTATCTTTTGTCTTATTTGTGATCAGGATTTTCTGATTCGTAAGAAATTACAAAAAAAAAAAAAAAAAAAAAAAATTTCAGAATACAGTGTCGTTTCCTGACATACTTACTTTATATTTTTTTTTTAAATATCTCTTGTAATAATTTTAAGATACTCAAAAGTGAAATTTAATTTTTCTTGCTAACAAAAGAACGCCTTAACATTATTACACTTTATCAAAAATATAAGCAAGAGATATTCTGTATGTTTACGTTTAACTTTCCCCAATAAATTATTACATGTGCGTTATCATAAATCACGTCAACAGTTTAAATAGCCTATAAAGCCATACTCCATACACTAAATACAGCTTACATATAACAAATTCAATCGGAAAACGTAGATTCAGGATATGTATGATCAAGTAAATATTTACTGCAAACACTATATAATAATATACTGATATCCAGATTAAGTTTGACAAACACGTCAAGAATTTGTAACAACCTCATTAATTATTCGTATATATCTTTCTCTTGTTTCAGAATATTGTGCATTTGCTAAAAACAAAAAAATGAATTTTGTTATTCAAGACCTGAAGACGTGATATGTTGGACATGTAATGGACATTTCGAATAAACGATATACATTCCCCGCCGTTTGTCAGCAACGTACGTGTACATTGTACATTTATATAAAAATAGTAGAGACATATTTTCTCCCCTGTTTAATATATTCGAATTAGTATCATTCAATTAGAAATCTTACATAATTTGTGTTTTATGTGTGAAATAAAATGCGCTCAGCCCTAAACAGTCCCTGTATTTGATCTTTGGCATCTAGATATGATTTACCTTGCCAAAAAGCCTTGAGCTTAACAGAATAAAGCCTCCCTCAAATAGTATTCATGCTACTGCTAAAATATAGACAGTGATAAAAATCATTTTCAGATCTAGGTTTTAGGAGCATAAAAATGTAATAAAAGATCACTATTTACTGATTTTATGTCTTAGATTTCATGAACATCATAGACCAATATATACCCTAGCGTTTGGGGTCCGTTGCTATAGCCTTGAAGGTCGTCTTTTCTTGGAATATAGCTTCTTTGCCCTTTCAAACTGTATTGATTCGTGTCAAAAAAAAGTCAGACAAAATAAGAACTGTGGAGCCAACGAAATAAAAACCTATATATATTTGCTTAAGCACTGACTCCTGTGTTAAGTTCAATTTTTTATGGAAATAGAATGGCAAGGTGGGGGATTACGTGTGGTTTAATTCAATCAACTCTTTTTTTCATCCAAGTGCCATGAAAGCGGCAGGGGTTTTGATAAGAAATTTACCCTCTTTAAACACTATGTAAATTTTTAACCACCCATTTAAAAGATGTGTCTGGATGATTAAATCAGGCTAAAAGTCTAATCCAGCCAAAATGTAAATCTGCTCTAATAAGTTTAGTCTGTAAAAACAGATTTATACAAACCTCAGTCTAATCTGAACTTTAAAAAATCTGCTTTAATGCTAGATATATGAACACAATGTTCTTATTGAATTCTAAGGGTGTCTGAAATGTTGGTCAAAGTTTAAGTTGCTGTTACAGCAAATTTCCTTTTATCTTACTTAACTTTACTTAACTTGTATGTTCAGATAACAGAAATATAAACGATGAAATATTAAGATATCATGAATTTACTAACTGTACATGGTTCAGAATCTTACATAAAGCTTCAAATCAAAAATGAATGATTTTAGGTACATGTAGTTCAGGAATGGAATTGGGTCTACACATTTTTTTTTAACTACAGTGTAACTTAAAGTACAAATGAATGACTATAACTAAAAATTTTAAATCTTTACAGCTCAAATTCCATTCATAAAATAAAGATCTGTCTAAACAACTATTCTGCATTGTCATGACACAGTTATAATCACCTGCTGTGAGGAGTCTCTTGATAAGTTCCTATATCAGTCATCTATTCAAGTAGTCACCTCTATACTGCAGTGTTTATAGCCTCTCCACAAGACAGCAAGGTTTTTTTTAGTATTGTTTTACAATTGACACAAGTCAGATACTGATGACTGGCATTAACTGTAGTTATTTTAAAGAACATCTTTTTCTATCAATAATGCTTAGAATCATTGGAGAAGAATGAACCAAATCATTTAGAACCAGATTTCAATTTAATAAGTTACAATAATAATATACTATCCATGACTCTGCCTCCTCATACACAGTACTGGAGCAGACACAGAGGATAAAACAGTGATACCTTGACAGCTTCATAAATCAAAGCATCTGGCTATCTGAAGCACTTTATTTATGCTTTAAGTAATGTGATAAAAGAAATCAAGGTTCTTCTGTGTGTATTGATATAATTATCATTGTGTGTGTTTTCTAGACTAATTATAGTAGCCAAGTAAATTTTCATGACCAGACCTACATCATTGCAAAGACTTATATATATATAATATCCAAATTTTTTTAACTGGCCAAGGAATGATTATATCCACATTTTAGATTCATAATTATCAAATTTTATTTCAATTTTCTCTCCCACAATAGCTAGATATCATACATTAAAAATCTGTTTATCATATACATGTATATCTTACAAAATCTTTACAAATGGTGATTCAATTAAATTAAAAAAAAAAGAAGATATAAATGGCACTAGGAATTAGTTTGTGTGAAATTCTCAGGAAAGTCCATAATGTCATTTCATGGTAATTTAAATAAGGGACATTTATTTCACTACAAGTGTTTTACCACATTGTGAGAATTCAATTGTGGTCTCTGATCTGGAAAAATAATTCAATACAATTCAATTCTGGAAGAAAATATCCTATTCTATAACATTTAATAAGATTTTCTGCTTAATAAGTCTTATTTTTTTACCTATACAGAATAGAAAACCTATTTGATAGTCAAAAGAAGAGATTCATGTGTGTTTTGTTCCTCTTATTGTGAATACAGCTAAACCTCTTGAATTACATTGGAAGCAGCTTTGCAACTCTATAGTATAATACAAAAGAGAATTCAACAAAATAAAAATAATGTTTAGGATGAAATCAAGTTTTAGAGAATGCAGTAAATATTTATCTCAAATTTTCTTTCTCAGTTTGAAATTAGTGGATTGACTGACACATTTTTTCTTCTAACTTGAGCCATGATTTCAATTCTTTATTTACCTTATACAGAAGTAATGTTACAGCTGTAACAATATCCCAAACTAATGCAAATCTGTTATCTCAATATGGAGATCTTAATTCTTTGTTGAGAAAATTTTGATTACTTTGTGATAAAGGCTTTTCTAAACTTAGGTCAATATATGTAAAAAAAATAAATAAATAAATAAATAAAAAAATAAATAAATAAATAAATAAATAAATAAATGAAATAAATAAATAAATAAATAATAATAATAATAAAGACTTGAAAGAGAAGGTTAAAGTGTTTTCAATTATAACATCCAGCACAAATTTTAACTGGAAAATTAAAAATAAACAAACAAAACAAAGTGCAAATGGGCATTCAATATTCCCACCTTATTACAATCACTTAATATTTATAGAGGATTTACTTAAAAACCATGCAATGATAAATTTTTCTTCCATGAGGATTCCAACTGTTTTGAAATTTAAACATTAACATACACATGCAAAAGTGGCTTACATAAATTTAATATGAAATTCACATGAATATCATGAGAATTATTTGCATGAAAAAGAGACAAAAAACAAGACATGTGAAATTTATGTGAAAACTTCAAGCCATTTTGACCTAACTTTCATATAAATTTTACATGTAGAGCATATTGCATAAAAATCGTGCAAAAAAACTTCAAATGCAAGTTCTAAAAAAAATTATGTGAATATCATACAAACTTATTCACATGATATTTGCATGAATAAATGTTTATATAATTTTTACATGATTTTCACATAATTTTCAAATAAAAAGATAATCACATGAATATCATGTAAGCCACTTTTCCCTGTGATATTCAAAATAATTTTAGTACCAATTTTTCAAACCAAAATTTATATTGTAAAAGTACTAAATGTGGAATTGATAGCGAGTCAGAATAAAATATTAAAATACTAGCTAGACAGCAAACTGATGGCTTGCACCTCTGTCTAAACAACTCCTTTTTATCAATAGCATTGTAATTGAATTGTAAAATTTGAAGACAGTGTGTCTGAAATTAATCTGGCATACATCTTATTCTAGTAATTCTGATTTAAAACTCATGTATTTGATATCTAGTGAGACAAATAAACAGTGGTCATTAATCATGTTAATTAACTGGTACATCCTTTATCTAGCTTTGTTAATAGATGTCATACATGCAATGCTAGTTTGAAATCCAGAACATAACTTTTCAAAAATGAAGCTGAAAAGACACACACATGCATGTATTCCTGTTTATTTTATCAAACTAAAATGTCAAAGTGCACAGGAATCTAGAGCTACTGAAGAGTTACATTGAAGAACTAACATTCAAATCCTTAGTCATTTTTTCAGCCTATTAACAGAATGTAAAATTTATCTTTCATATATTTTGTTGGTAACATGTTGGTAACTGTCAAATATTTTAATCATCTATTAATGAATTTTAAGAACAATTTACATCAGCATCTATTACTGAAACAGAAAACTGTTCATGAGTAAAAGATGCTTAGGATCAATTTCATGAATTTCAATTAGATATTTAATACTTTGTTAACTAACATTTCAGGTATTCCAGAGGTTAACTGGGTAACATAATTTTCAGAAGTTATCTGCAATCCTTATTAAAACAAAAGTCACTGAAAAATATGCATTTTCCATAAAAGTAGACATGATGATTAACATCTCCTGTATGATCTAGCAGGTAAGAATGAATGATATGTAGTTACAGGTCTGAAGATCAGATCACTTCAAAAGTTGTACAAGGGGTGATTAATTATTAACATGTGCAGAAAATGTTTATTAATACTGTTCAGTAATTTATGATGCATTTTAGGGATGGTTGGTAGTAAAACATATTTAGTAATGTGTACAGTTAAGGAAAATGTTTTTCTTGAGGAAATGTGCAATGAAAATGTTCTCCTTCGGAGTCCTTCCTAACATGGTAATTGAAAAATATATAAATTACAGGTGATGCTTATTTGTTGTATTATACTGTCGTTAATATCAGGGGAGGATGCTCATTATGGCAAATATGGTTCAGCGTCAATCCACATATAGCTATAGATAGGTGCTAGTACACTGCATATTAAGGCTAGGCAATAATACCAATATTCTGGTATATTGCAGTGCGATGACAAAAAATATTGTATTGCAATAGGATTTTGAAGTACCGTTATTCTGGCAAAATGCTTGGACTCAGATTTTTTTTAACAAAATATAAAGTAAAAGTTGTCGGAAACATTTGCAATCATGCCAAACATTACAGTAAGACAAAAGCTGTAGTAGTGGGTGTATTTTGATGCCTAACTGTAATTAAATCAACAAGATATTTTTTCTTGGTAATTTTTCATAGTTATGTACATTCTGCATGAAACAGAAGTTTTTAAAATAAGAAAATGCCATCTTAATTTCCGTTGAAAATATTGCAATACATATTGCAATATATTTAGAAAGATCGCAGTATATCGCAATATGAAATCTCTAGCCAATGCCAAGCCCTACTGCATATATGTGTTAGTCCTATTCTGGGTCATGGTGAGTGGCTACAAGGTGCCTGTACAAGTGACTAATTAATTGAGTTCCTTAATTTCATATGATGCAAAAATAAAAAGTCATAAAATGCAAAGTAGCAAATATTCTACTCAAATAACAGATATACCGAACACGTGTTACAAGCATGGTTGAAGACCTGAAAGTTACCTTGCGTGTTATCCAAGGCACCAAGTCCCTCGACTTCCAAGGTATCTGGGCTCTGGTCACTGTCTTTATTGTCCGATTTATTTGCTGATTTTCTGTTTTTCTTTTTCTTCTTACTGCCATTTTTGTTATTATTTTTATCGTTTGATGTCACACTCTTTTTAGATTTCTTTGAAGTTTGTTTATTATCCATTTCCTCTGAAAATTCCTTGAGGCTTATTGACCGCTTAACGCAAACAATGTAAACTATGCATCCGCGTGATATAGAAATACGATCATCTTCTGTACAAATTCACTAGTGCTTACAGACTATCATCCCTTAGAATTATATCGTTTTGAATGTAATTATGTAAAGTGTGAAATAGATACTTTTCTATTAAGGGGAAAAAATGCACAAAATATCCAGCGGAAGTTGTGGTAGGATATTTTGGTTACCAGGACATATCCCACAATTCACTCGAGGGTTAGGCTATTTAAAGGAAATTTGATTAGGTTAGAACATATATTATTTAAAATAAAATGACCGCAGCATTTGCAATGAATTCTATAATTGTTATTATATTTATTTAAATTACGTTCACTAATTGGTAGTTATTGTATCATTTCTTTACTGAGCCTATGAAAAGCACCCGACAAACAAAGCCCGCTTTTATAACGAATTTAGGCCTAAAGCATTCATGATGATGCTTATGTTTAGCTCTGATCCAAGCAAGTAAGGTAAGAAATCACTCTTTGTTTCAAGAAAATGTGAAACAGTGACTGCAAGCACAATTTAAAAAAAAAAAAATCCTAAATGATCAATGAAATTATAAATCATATGCCATATGGAGCACCCATGAATAGACGACTTTCACATTCTTAAGAGTTATCGCTCTTTGTGGCGTCACGCTCATTTTTCTCACTTTATATCCTTCGTGTCTTACCTGTAAATATTTTAAACCTTCAAACGTTTTCTGACTATTTTCTACCGTTCCTATATTGCCATGGCATGGTGCAACACAGACAACATAAAGCGCTATAGATTAAAGTTTGATACCCGTGGGAATTCCAATAGATTGTTGGAAGATCCTGGTCTCTAAAAACCACATAGATATTGTCAGTCAGAAACTTGAGCATCTTTTTAATGTCAACTTCAGAGTACTTGTGTGTACAATCAGATTGTTTATTAACAAAGTAACTTTGCAAATGACCAATAACAAGGTAAGTAAATTTTCGAGTTCCATTTTTTATTGAAAAAGCAGCTGTCAACGATGTCAGAAAGTCAGACTGTCTGGACTTTAATTTATCGTGGGGAATAGTTGTTAATATAAAGTTGAAAAGTCGAAAGTTTTTATGTTGTTGATTTTGGTAAAATTTTGTGATTTCTATGTTCCAAAAGTTGGAACAATACAAATCGGGAGCAGAGCAGAAACGGACCTCTAAAAACATCAGAGATGGGATCAGGTGCCATGAAGGAGTAGGCATCCGCTGTCTACTGGTCACACCTGCCTTGTGCTCATTGTCATGATCGGGCAAACGGAAAAATCCGAAGAAATTCAGTGTTTAAATAATGGCCTAACAATAAGTATGAAAAACGTCAGTCAGCATTCGACTTAATGATAAATTGTATTTGTTGGCAAGGCCATTGTATCGACCATAGAATTTGCGAAATGATGACTTCAAACGAGACTGTTAATATCCTTGTTTCATCAACTTGTTTGTCAATAACTTGCCTCGGTTTAGAAATTGTTCATACGTGGAGCATGCTCTTGCGTATCGAATCAACTGGGAGATATAAACCTCATATGCAGGTGATAAGGGTATATTGCAACATAAGTTAGGGAAGTTGACGATAGAAAAGTTGAAGTCATCATGTTTATCATAATTTTTATCGTGTATAGTATATGGTGACGTAGAATATTTATATCCCGCAGTTAAGAAGGGATATTAAGGTGGTATGGGATACCAAACGAAACTTCTCCTACATATTTATGTACCCAAATTAGAAGGATTTGAAATACCCCCACCTTTCAGTATATTAAAGTGTAATTTTAATAATTTTTTTATTATTTTAATGAGAAATACAAAAACGATTTTTTTTCTTGCATAATTCTTTTTTCATAAGCTTAATATTATAGGCAGGCGTTTGCTAATATAAAGTGTTTATAAAAACAAAAATGACAAGAAATATGTCTTAGTATTTGTTTAATTTTCAACAAAAAATAAGCGTAAAAAACTGGGAAAACTTTATTTCTTGAAAACAGACGGATAACATTTCATGAAAGTCTACATTAAGAATGTATCTTAATATGTTAGCAAAGTGAAATAAACAAATTGAAAAAATATATATAAATGGAAAATATAAAATGCATTTAAAATTTTTTGAATTAAAAGATCCGAGCAGAAGAGTTATCCTTCTTTATTTTCCAAGGGTTGAAAAAACCTGGGTGCTATTTTAGGAATGATGAGCATTTTTTCCCAACCATAAAAAAATCGCACTTTGTAGTTTTCAACTTTGAGCGGTTTTGAAAACAATGCATGGACAATCGCTTTCCAGGACGTGTCTTGTTCAGAGCAATTGCATTCATCTGAACGTTTTGGGACTATATACAACAGCTGGCTGATTTGTGACCAAACAGTTACTTCTTGAATTAAATAACAAAAAAGTCCAGCTCTGGTTAACGTGATAATTGATTGGTGATAATTCAGCACAAAGTGAAGTAATCGCACTTATCCATGCCTCACCGCACACAAGGTGCTGTACAGTTACTCAAACAATTGAAATACAGCTTTTGCTTAAAAGTGTTCAAAAGCAGCAATGTTGATACTACCTTTTACAGGGGTTTGCTTTTTTAAATGTCCGTTGTACAATTATAAGTAAATTTATATACTTGCGATTTTTTTGTCTGTTTTTACTTAAAATGCTGACTTGTGAGAACTTGCATTGAAATAGGCTTCAGAGTGTTCTTTTCAACGGTGTATCTACAAATTTTGACCCGATAATAAGCACTCGTGCAAATCAAAACAATACTTCAAACGGAAATACGTCATAACGTGGAGGTATCCCATACTACCTTAAAAGGATGATGTTTTTTTTGGGGTGTGTGTGTGTCCAGATTCCTGTCGATATTATAAAATGTTTACATCTGTTATGATACACGGATGATTTTTTTAATTCTGAGATTAATGATCAAGGCTACATTGTAATCTTATAGATGCCTTGATCAGTATTTGAAATTAAGGTCATGCTATTAATATTTATCATTGCAACTTATTTTTGAAATTCGAGTGAGTTTTTTACACCACGAAAAATGTTTTTCAACATATTTCAAGATAAAGGGAATCTTTTCTTTTTTACTATACAACTGTTCAATATTACTTTAAAGTTTTTCTTTAGATTTTTGATAGAAACACTTACATACGGACCATGTATGATACTGGAGTCCTTTTTTAAGGACAGCAGATTGGTAATATATAATTGTGGATTCATAGACTTTGTTCGTTGTATTTATACATTCTTCAAAGTTTGGCGGGTTGATCTATAAAAGAAGAGAAGACGGCCGGAAAGGGGGGGGGGGTGTTGTTATTTTTTTAAGTGGTAGGATTTGTAGAATAATTTATGAAATTCATAAATAGATTCAATAAAACAAGATATAATGTCTTATCTGCTGGTTGGTTCTGTTAAATAAATGTAATTTTTTAATTAAAAAGAATAAATCATGAATCTAGGCCAAGGAACTTTTGTTTAGTTTTAAATTTAGGGCTTTAAAGCGGCCACAAAAATCACATTGATGATATAAAAAATTTCTTTTTAATACAGGTATATATTTTGAAAACGAAGTACATGTATTTGACATAGACCAGAAAAAGACATGGGCTCTCCATCCCTGGAGGCATTCATCCTTGAAGAAAACGTTTTGGAGGAGATGTTCTCCGAATGGGGGGATTATCCGACAAACAAAAACACAACTGGTAAGCTCTTCTTTCTATAGTACAGGTACATGTAGATATAAGTCCTGAACTTGATCCAATTAAAGTATAGGTAGATTTATACAAGTAACTTCCCATTAAAATGGGCTATAGTAATACTTATACTGTTTTGTCATAAAACAGAAAATACCAGTGAAGTCAAACATTCTGGGATATCAGATGAGAAAGGATCCAGTTCTACCGCGTCAGGTGACAAGAGAAACGAGGAACGGGCACCGACTACAGTCGTGGCTAATATTTTAGACAGCAACTTAGACACCGATAATGATACATGTCCGTCACCTCTGGGGAAATTTCGTCCTGGATATTTATGGGTAACTGATTTTACAAGACAGAATTGGTGTGAACAACAGCTGTATTACACATTTACAATACCCACCATAGCTGAGGAGAATCCGGTTATGACGGCTGGAACTGACTTGGCAAGAGGTATCACTGTATCAGAGTAGAAAGATCCGAAACCCAGCAGTAATAAATCTGGCAAAATGATTTAAAAATGTGATATAAACTAAACAATATTCGCAGTTTCTTGTTGTGGAAGTAGCTTTCAATGTGTACTTACACAAATATGAAATTTTCACTCGGGCGTCCTTCATTAGAAACAAATTGAACCACTGTCTTGTAGACACAAAGGCTCTTACAATTTAACATTCGTAACACGTGCCGTGGTTTTTCTAATTATTGGATTGACGTTCAGAGAAGTCACTCAATTACTGAAACTACCTTTTTGAAAATTGTTTAACTGAACGTGCAGAGTTTAAAAGTTTTTGGGAAAAAAAGTTGTTTTAAAATAAATTTCAACAAAGCATTTGAGTTTATGTAGTTTTAGAAAGTTCAACAGAACTCGATTTAAATGAATGAAATAATTGCGAGGATTAATTTTATTGTTTTCAATAAGCATTCTTAAATCTTGTCATTTTTCTCCTTCCAGAATTAGCGACACACGATATAGTTAAGGTTGCAGTACAATCTAATGAGGATATATGGGCAATCAAACTGTTAAATCTGCACTCGGCATTGCTCGCCTTTCTTAACGGAGGCAAAATAGCGAGAGAAGTGCCAGTATTCGGGAATCCATTTGGAGGGAATATTTTTGTGGTGGGACTAATTGACGAACTCCGATTCGATCCCTCCAATTACACCATTGACATGGTTGAACTGAAAACACGCCAGTCTTCCAGCTTACCCTCCAAGGCCCAAAGAAAACAACACAATTTTCAGGTTATGTTATATAAAACTTTGTTTGATGATCTAGTGAAGGGACGAGTTTCAAAAGATTTCATAGCATCTTCATTACGGATAGACCTCCACAAGGAACTTGGAGAACCTATCAAAGAACATGCAGAGAAACAGTTCGTGGTCATTAAGAATCTCAATGATCTGATGGACCTCATTTTTCATAAGATTCAAACTCTAACCTGTATTAATCAAATACTCATTGAATATGTACACCAGAAATCAAAGCAGACGATAAATCATGTGGAAGTAGAATATGACGTCAGTGAGATTTCTCGCTTGTATGAGCAGTACCTTCAGTTCTGGAGAGGGAATCGAGAAGCAGTGGGAGTAGAGATAGAGGACGCGTGGAAATGTCAGAGATGTGACTTTCAATCTATCTGTGATTGGAGGAAAAGGAAGACAGAAGAATGTATACTCAAAAACAAGCAAGCAAATAGAAGCAGCACTTAAAGTTGTGGGACGCACAATCTTTAATTCATTTGTGTATATAATAAATCTAATTTCACGTACTGTGGCTTACTCTTGCATTTTTTGGGTCTTACTATGTACATAGTGTTATCAATTTGAAATTTGATTGACCCTTTTTCCCTCATTTTTCCCCCCGGAGATATGAAATTCTGAGTTTTAAAACTGTCAGCGTCATCATAACACAACATCATGACTTTTCCCCGTTAACTATATTCCTCAATGTAGCTATATCGTATTTGCATTCGTTGTTGTTCGACCATTATGGAATTAACCAAGTTAAATCGACAGTGTGGATAAACAAAAACCTTGTCATATCGAAGCTAGCACAAGATACGTCGTAATAAAATTAATTAACTGACTAGGTTCTCGGCCAGAATGTGTCGTGCCGACCCTCGGCCTAAGGGCCTCAGGCAAACAGTTTGATTCTTGGGTCTGGAAAAAAAAACCGCATGTTGTTCTCCAACCCAGTAAACAAATGTGTAGTGTTTGGTGTAACGTGTGCTAATGCTTTTTGGACTTTATTAAAAATAAAAAAAGTTTTAAGTCCTAAGGTTCATACGACGAATGGGCTAGAAAGGGGTTTATAATGCCCAGTGCTACTCTTGTTGCAAACAAGGTCATTGTAACGGCAAAATATTTTGCAAAATTCTTGAAACGAAATTGTTGATACTTGTAGTCTCAACTCATTTGTTTGTGGCCTGCCATGCTTTAGAAATTGATCGTAAGCAAATCATGGTTATAAGCAACGAATTGATGAGAAACATGCACCTTACGAAGGTGGTAATGGTATATTACTGCAAAAGTTAAGTTGGTAAGTCATTCCATCTATCATGAAGTTTAATTGATAGTTTTCCGGCATTACCCACAAATATAGTGATATATGAAACAGATGCGTCATCCTCTATGCTGTCTTTTATTTCGAGTTCAGTTGGATACATCAAATCAAAATCAGTGTATGTATGCAAATGAATTTGTTCATTGATAGATTTTCATCAATCTATCTCAATGTCAAATTGAAGATCAAAGCGAAAGACCTCTTCTTTTATTTAGTAGTTTCTGAATAAATTTTTCTTCAAAAGTATTGAAAAACAGATTGATTAATAAAGTTGCAGAATAAGTACCCATGGGATTCCAACAATTTGGTTCTCAAAGACTACAAGATCAGAAATTGCAGCATGGTCTTAATATCTACTTCAGAATACTTGTTGGAGAATCAGGAACTTTTTTAACAAAATAACATATTGGATGTCTTATCACAGATATTTATATTTCCGATTTCATTTTTAATGAAGAAGCACTTTTCTTCAGTATAAAATTGTCTCTTTTTTTAATGTGTTATGCGGAATGGTAGTATCAAGTGCAGAAAAATCGTATGGTTGTATTGATTTGGCTAATTTTGGACAAGTTTTAAGATTTTAGAAGTGTTAAAATTTACTAAGAGATTTTTCTTTTGTATCCACATTTGGTTTAAGGACATACGCAACGTACCTTACCTACTGATAATTTTTCAAGATATTCTTAACTTAAGATTATAGTGTCATAAGATGTTCGTATACAAAAAATCAGCATGCATTACCAGGGGTTTTGAAAAGATATCAATTGATGAAAATTCTTGTATTAATCAAAGAAAAATATATAAAAATTACTAAACATATATTCTAGATGTTTTGTTTATCCAAACTTGTTTTAGAAGAAGTGTACAATAGCATATATAGACATTAAAATGTAGCACACAGTTCCTTTAAGTTTTGAAAGTCTTCAACTCCTGGGAAAAAGACAATAAAGTTCAAACTACGCTGCGTATGCCCTTAAACCACTTCTCAAATATTTTTAAGCACAGTACTTTTTAAGTTTCTCCTCCACTGTTTTTGATTATTTTCGTAAGAGGTAAAGACAGAGGCCTGGAAAAATTTTTTTTTTCTGGATCCTGCTACATGTACATGTATGTATTTTTGTAAGGATTTTTACGAAGTTCTAAAATCCAGTGTAGTTATGTTAATTCAAATTTTGTTAGTAACTTTGAAAAAAATTATTTTGATTTTTTTCTTTCTAATAAAAGGGAACCTTGAGTATAAATTGGAATTAGCAGTTGTAGAATTAAATTCAAGTTCCTCTGAAATTGTACCAATTAGCCTTACAAACAAAGTCAATGTTTCAGCTAAACAGTATATTCTAAAGCATGTAATCTATTTTATTCTCTCCTTACTTTCAAATTAAGGAAGACATAAGGTACGCACCGTCTTATACGGGATTTACTGGACCTTTTGAAATACATGGAAGCTAATAAGATATGTTTGGAGCCTTTGCTTCTCTTTACCATAATAAAATGACACCTTTTTCTTTGATTTCACATTTTTATTATTGATCTTATTTTTTGGCTATAAAAGGTGCACCTATGTTTTGCCATCCATCATGCAAGTTTATCAAATCTTCGATTTTGTTAAAACATTGTTTTTTTAAAAATTATAGACCGTTGGCACATTTAACGCGTGTTTTCTCTATGGCATTTGTAAGAAAATAGGGCACCTATCTGATAGAAATATTGTTATATTTTTTTCCTTTGTCAGAATTCTACAAAATGCGGTGATGATGATTTGTTTCGTGTCTTAAAAATGTCTTTCAGTGTAAATCTAGCATTTTCGGATATCATGTGGCACACAGCATTGATATTTTTTGGTGTCCCCATGAATTTCAATCGACCAGTTTGACTGTTATATTTTAACTCCCCTTTTTTCCTTTTGAATTATTGAATCCATCTGAAAATTATACAGCGTTAAAAATTATTTTTTCCACATATAAAAATCATATCTTTTATACGAGTTCTTCGGTGATTCGGTAAAAAGCCCAGTTTTCACATACGCTGTCATTTTCATCTTCTTTGCAAAAATCATTTATAAACAGTTTTCAGCTCAGTGTAGTGACCATGCTTACTTTAAAAGTGAATTTCTTTGCGAGTACAATCGGAGAAGTCATGGGGTTTTCTGTGATTAGGAGCTCTTTCACAGAACTTTTCAACTGTGAAAAAAAATAACATTTAATACCTACATGTATGGATTTATTATGATATACTGTATATTGCATTACTTATTGATAAACCCCCGTATATTGAAGAATCTATGGATATACATTTATAAATAACAGGAACATAAAGAAGAATATGAAGATCATTTACAAATACTAGTAGAAAGGATAGAAACATCAAAATTGTGCAAGTCAGATACAGTGTAAAACGTTCATACATTTCTCTGACTTTTTTTCCTTGTCCAAGGACACAAAAATATGGGGTAATTATCTCAAATATAATGATAAAAAATATCAGAAAAAATTGTAAGTCAGATACAATGTGAAACATTCATACATTTCAGAGTTCTCTCTCCTTGTCCAGGGATAATACCAAACATCCGGACATGGAGAAAAATGGAAATTAATCAAAAAGAGAACTACTTATAAATAAATAACAGATTCATGAACTTCTAAATTACCATATTTTATTTGCTAATGTTACAATTATTTGCACATTACAATTAATACAATCACTATATAAATAATGTAATCCACTTTTAGCCGACAGAGAGGAGGAAATCCATGGAAAGCAGAAAACAGATGAACAAGAGTTTGCTTCAATGTTTTACCGTCAATCGAATTTGTAAAACACGACGTGGTAAAAAGACCCTGAATAAAGGTTAACTTTGTTTCCAATACAGTTATTAGTTTGTGTATGATCCATTATGTTGTACTGTGAACAACTGGTGGCATCAAATTTTTTTCAGCTGCATGTTGAACGTTAAGAAGGAGAAAAAAGTAAGATTTTATACATTTCCTCCTTTTTAATACCGGGGGATGGGGGTGGGGGTTATGACATGCACTTCCTGCATGTGAGAAAAGCACAAGGATATCAAATAACTCCGATTGTGTTCAGTCTCTTTACCAATTTTATAATCTTTCGATATATGTTCACTGTGGTATTTTAAAATTTAAAAAAAGCTTCATGTTATACTTGACATTTTCTTCGACAACATTTGTGTAAACTTTTCTTTTACTTGTAAATCGGAGAAAATGACCAAAAACAGGTCCTTTATCCGTTCTCAATTTTAGATGCTACTAGAAAGCTGTACGATAAATTTGGGAGCGGATAAAAGATCAAATTATTTTAATTGTGATATTATTAGATTTAAAAGTCAGCTATAAATCATTTTAATAAACTCACCTGGTTACCCATATTATATATTAGTTCTAAATAAAATTTTGACATTAAGCTCATAGGAGTCTGATCACTTATTAAACTATTAAACCGGATAAGTAGATTTAGAATTGCCAAATGACACATTTCCTTAAATTGCCCGTGCGTTTTACTTCTTTATATATAGCTTGTTTTTACTTTGCCTTTGTTAAGAAATTCACTTGCCATAAATAATAGCATAATGCTCTTGAAAACGTTTATCAATTTTTTCGTGAAAACTTTGTAAATTAACGGTTTGATCAAGGTATATATTATTATACAATTTCTTGCCTGATAGATATGTATACACAAACCAATATAAAAGTAACTTCCCCTAGCTCCCATCGAAGAGAGAAGAATGTACTGGAGTATTTTGCCAAATATTACTGATGCTACAAACCTCTTTAAGTCATTCAAAATGTTAAAAAGAAATTACTAGAAAAGCAGTGGTGGGCAAGTTTCTTTAATGGAGTGAACGGTTATAGTGATATGGTCCATAGTTCTGCATATTCTGGGCCATATGATTTGAGTCGAAAATTATGAATGTGGTGTGTTAAAAGATGATCTTACCGAGAAAATATGACACATATTTTGAGATCGTATACATTACAGGAGCATGCTGGGAAATAAAGATTTTACGGCTATGAATAAACGACTGATAGGGACCTCCTCCCGACGATTACATGTACATGTAAAACTTTCTAAAGGACTACGTTTTTGCATCACATGAATCCGGTTTATGATTCTATTGATGGTGGAATTTAGTTTTTGATACACTGTTATGCCAATGAATAAGCTTTGTTTTGATACATACATGTAACT